TTTTCTTTTCAGATGAAGGCCCTCCACCCCGTTTGGATATAAAAATGTTTCCCTTGCCCAATATATACCTTGTCATCGATCCCTGATGCCAACTTATCGAGACAAAGAGATGCGTTTTATTTTGCGTGAATGGAGGCATGTGGAAGTGCAGCGCACTTTGTTCTGCATACAAATTGCATTTTATGAACAAAAAAAATAAAATTTGCATTTGCATTTTTATTGTTGTGTTGACGCTCTACGCAGTATTCGCAAAGTGTTACCATATCGACCAACACAGTGCTTACAAACAAGCCCGGATTTGCCCACAACAGGTGTGGACAATGCGCATGCGGGAGGCAAAGCATCTGCGCATGCGCAGTACAGACAGCAGCGCCACCGCAGTGGCGTGACATCAGAGAGTTGGGTTGGTCTATTCACTTCACTTCTGTTAAGTTCAACCGCAACCGGATCTAGGATACTATGGAGCCTATGTAGCAGCGACAAAAGTGCATTGTCGCAGCGCTTATCGTCCTGGTTTCTTTCCTTTCAGCCACTATAAATCACGCTCAGCCATAGCCTCCTTTATGCTCAAAGCCTGGCAGTTTGACGACTGAGCCATAGGTTGCCCGGTCGAAAATTTTGAGCGCAAAGATCTGGTAGCGCAAAGCATCAGTCATTTTTCGGAGAACCTGGACGTCAGGGCACAGCTTTTGCAGCGACGAGGACCCGAAACGCACTTGTTCGCTCGGGAGAACTGTGTTGCTGCGGCAGGGCGCCAGTCGCGTGGCTCTCCTCTCATTTGTTGTCTGCCCCTTCACCTTTTCCATTTCGGCGGCCGCTTCTCGTGGCCATCTGCCACACTTTGTCAGTATATAGGAGGCTATGGCACAGCGAATGTGTTGGAAGTCTACGATCCCTCTCTTTTCTGTTCGTGATTGGTTTATTCGATGATAGAAATCCCACAAGACTACGAGTGCCTTGACGATGCCCATTTTGGCGCTTTTTGATTGGCTTCATCTGGGTTGTAACGTCAGCTTCGAGTGGATTTAAGTGGAGATGCGGGTCGACAAACGTCAACATTTAACAAGCATTTTATTTGGGGTTTTACTGTTTTATTGTTCTCACATATTTGTATGTTATGTTAAATATATATATATATACATGTATATACATATTAAATTTTTCTGCAGCACACGCAGCAGGATAAATGTTTTTTTATGTTTTTCTCGCGAAAAATATAAACAAACATTTTTCCTACTGCGAAGGGAGCGCAGCTACGCATCTGTATAATGTTGAAATGTGTATTTCTCTTTTTGGAATTTTTGGGCAATCTTCACTGTTTTCGCGCCAGCATATTTGTTATTAATAATGTCCTATCGTAATTAATATGGCCGTGCATCGTCTTTGGGATATGTAGAATACAACGATTATTGCTTAATGAGGTTGTATTCTTTTTATGTTCATGAAAACTTTAGCAAGCCTTTGGTAGCCCTTTAAAATTTGAATTGCTGCAATTTTCATTTTTTTAAAAGTTGTCGTACTCGTCATTTTTGTTTATTGCCCATAGTGGATTAAAACGAGCGAATCAGCCTATTTACTATGCTCTCTTATCTGTGTTAAAATGCCCCATTTGTACACAAATACATGTTGCTGTTTCTTTCCGGGTGTATCGAATCCACAACACAGAAAAACAAGTTATGTCAAAACTAATATCAGATTTACGAAAATGAGGTCAAGCACTATAAACTGAAGATTTCATGAAGTTTTTCACTGGCACATGCGTCGCATTAAAGAGAAATTAATTAAAGTAAGCATTTTGATTCTATTATATCGCCAGAGTAAATGGGAATTTCGCTGTGTGGAAACTGGCAATAATACCCGCAGAAGGGGAACAAAGGGGACAAAGGACAAACACAAATCTCCAAACAGAGCAACAAGTGACTGGTGCGCGACCAAAGAAGTTCGCCTGGTCTGGGTATCGAACCCGGGACTTCTCCATTTGCAATGGAACGTTTCACCAACTGAACTAACCAGTCGTTCGACGTCAGTAGAGCGAACGGGTTTTATCAGCTGCCACCAGTGACACCAACAAGGGTGAATGGCCAGCATTTTTAAGGTCATGATTCAGATGCAATTAATACAAAGGTGAAAGCGAGCTGGACAAGAATGGCAATTCACTCTAGGGAGCAGTAACGGCATACATTTTGGAAATGCTTTGTCGTTCCGACTAACTTCCCTTACTGTCTGGAACAAGTTAGAGAAGAAGGTGTTCGCGCTATGTTTATCTGAAGTATCAGCGGAGAAGTATATGTTTATGCCTTTGACTCCATCTTGCAACTTGAAAACAGAATAAATGTTTCCCTTTTAATAGGATACGGCACGGCTTGCGCTAAGGTATACCAAAGTACGTTCTCCATACTGATAGTTCAACATATAATTGATACCCGTCACCGTTTCTATACTTCGTATATTTGCAGCATTTAGTGGTATGAGCTACGGTGGACAACAATCTGGCCCCGACTTCGTGACTCTCTCATCGTTGAATTCGCCATCGCATTGAATAAAAAGAAAGCTTTGGATCATGTATATCCGAAGTCAGTATGCGAATATTTGTCTTACTTTCGTGTCATCAACCACCCTTTGGACTGGATCCTAGGAATCTATGTAACTTTTCCGCTCACGATACTGTAACCAACGTAACGGACGCTTACATTTCTGGCGGTATTTCTGAATGAGTGTTTCCGAGAGTTCGTCAATCATTAAGTCGAATTTATTCATAAAAATTGCGCGTCGCTTACAAAACAAGGCCGGTAGAATGAGTGGATTCCAGCTGCATAATTGTCTCAGATTTATAAATAAATAAATATATATATATATATTACAAAAAGCAAATAAAAAAGACGGAAAGCTACTTTTACACTGAGTCAAAAATATATATTTGGCGGTCTGTTTTTGCTGCCTTATTTAAAATTATTACTGTTCGCTAAAAGGTCCACACAAAGAAAAAAAAATAACTAGATATAAATATATATAATTTCTTTTTTTTTTTTTTTGCGTGGACTTTTAGTTTTTTTGAAAATTCTGAAGCCATGCCCATCCCAGTTTGGGAGGTCCACCATTCTTCACCACTTGGATTTCATGACGCTTGACTCGCCCGTTGTACCGTTTCTCACCATGAACCATTCCCTCTGAAACTCTGGGCTTGACGGTGTGTGGCTCAAGCGTTATTCCAGAAGGCTTCACGTGTGAGTAATGTTCTTTCGTAGTTTCCAAGCACCAGCATAACAACGTAATTTTCATAAAACGGTGTTTGCGTTAAGAAGTCAAAATCACAAAACAAAATTGAGCATATATTTGTTCTGCTGTCCTCACTTCCGCAGCACGGCTTCTGATGACTATTTTTTTTTTATTGAAATCCAGATGACGCCGTGTTGAACTCGACTTTTCTTGTTAACAACTGAAAGGTGTGGATTTTTCTTTTAAGAAATGGGTTAACTGGTTTGCGTGTGGTGCAACCGGTAACCTAACCGTTATTTCAAAAGCAGAACTGAACCTGTAGAACTTAACTGGAACAATATGCATAGCTACTGAACCAGAGCCTGAACTAAACCAGAACATTGCACCGGTTCGACTCCCTGTTATTAAGTTGTAACCCAGCGCGTGACTTTGACGAAAACGAAAGGGCTCGTTTTGACAAAAACCCGGCGGTGTCTGTGAGTTTGTCAACGCCAGGGAGAGAGGGAGAACACAGAGGTTCGGGCGAGTTGGTTGCTCATGATGTACAGAGGGAACAGCGCACCCGCAGAACAGTCATTCAAATCAACAACACAACAACACCAATGTACAGGGGGAACAGCGCTGAGTATGTGTGTCTTTCTTTTGTGTGTATGTTGATTTGAATGACTGTTCTGCGGGTGCGCTGTTCCCCCTATACATCGAGAGGGAGAAGTTGAAACGTGCCCTGACACGTGACGTGTTGACACGGGACGTCAGCGCTTCAGACCGAAAACAGCGTCAAATGAGTCAATCCCTAGCACTAATTCTCCCGCTCTCTCAGACGCTGACAAACGAAAGGCGATAATTCCTGGAAAAAGGGAACAAGGGGGACATAGGAAAAACACATATCTCCGAACACAGGTATGTGTTCGGAGATATGTGTTTTTCCTATGTCCGAAAAATTCTGCCTGGTCTTGACATCGAACCAGGAACCTCCCTATTACCAGCGTAGCTTGTTCCCTTTCTCCAGAAATTATTATCGTCATTCTTGTAAAGCTCGCTTGCACCTTTGCATTAATTGCATTATCACCAGACGAGGTGCCGCCGGGTTTTCGTCAAAACGAGCGTTCTAATGCTAACCCATTAAAATTCTAACGAGTCAAAAAGCGTGAAAAAACATTGGGCGAGGAGTGGGCAGTTTACATCCTGAGTTCATGCACGGCCGTTGGTACGAGAGCCGAGGGGTACATCAAGCAACGTCGAAAGCGCAACATCATGGCGGTCGCCGTCTTTCTTTGCACGCTCATCCGCCAACTCTTCTAATCAAGCACATAGAGTACTCCGCTGCACTTTACATTACGTTTTTAGTCTAGTCTGTGTGTGTATGCTTGGTTGTCTTTATGTATCCACCGCGCTCGAAGTGAAGGTAAAGCGAAGTATAGTAGAACATTTCCTATGCGTAACAAATCCCAGGGCTCTAATCCGGATACTTGGGAAAATCTCGGCCAGGAATTCTGCGGTCGTGATTGGCCAGCGCCACGCTTGACCCAGGCAAAGGCCAATCGTGGCGGTCAAATTCCTCGCCGACGTTTTTGAAAAATGTCCTGATTAGAACCCCTGCTGTACAAATTTTCTTACGTACGTCACCAACCGAATGTGAGCGTTGAGCGCGGATTAGACACGGGTGCTACGTTAGCACTCGGCTGGGCCTTGCACTCTGAATGAGCACGAGTCCAAACCAAATGCTGACGTAGCACTCATGTGTACTCTTTGCCCTGCGCTTACTTCCTGTAGCTGACGTCACACACCTATCACTGTACGACCTCGTTATCTCGGAGGTATCGGTACGGGTGATGCTTGCGTTGGGGCCTCTGGCGTCCGACCGAGCCGGTGCGCAGTGTCCCTCCTGATTCCGTTAGTGACAGATCGTACCAAGGCTGTCTTCATGTTGTCGCGACTTCGAGCTCGATGGTCGGGCGGCACACACCGTCCACGGCAACCATCTGAGAATAACAGTGACAGCGATGCGCCTTCCCCCGAGTAAGTAAAACTTCCTCGCTTTTTCGTGTCTTTCTTATCTAGAGGCTTTCAACGAACGTTTCGAGGGTTACGCGCGTGCAGCAGTGAACAATGTCAGCTTAAACTACTGAGACACCTGTGACGCTGCCCCGACGAGAACAAGTTGAATGAACGAGCGAAAGACATTGCGGATTTATGTTATCCGACTCCGCTTGATCGTACTTGACAACTTCGCGCCGTTGCTGCTCACGGGCTGCTGCTGGGTTCGTTTATAGTTATCAATTTTGCCCCTGTATACGTTTAAAAAATTATTTTGCTGCCGCAGCAGCCATTTCCCTGGGTAATAAAGGTGGCGACGAACGCGGGTGTGTGGCTGAAAAAAGTAAAGGCAATTCGTACCGAAGGTCTCATCAGCCGTGAAAACGAAACATGCCAAGTCATGGAGCTACTGCTCGTAATTTTATTGTCTTATATCTACAGTGAATGCAAGACGTTTGTACAATAATCTAATTAGTTTACAAATAAGACCATGCAGTGCATTTTCGGCGTAACATTCTTACACCTTAATATTCAGTCCACGGCGGAGCACGGGTCTTCTCTTCGGGGTGCTTTGGTATAAACTCAAATGCCAGCCTTCTTTTTTCGATTGTGATCGACTGCATGGCGTGCAAGTACGATTTATTTCATTCATATTTTTACCCTTGTCTCAAAAATCGATTTTTTTATCGGTCTCGGTAAAATCGTCCTTCAATTTGATCTTGTGAAGACTATCAAGACACAAAGTACGCAATGTATTTTATGTTTTTTTTTTTTTTTTAACAAGTGTCTGCCTGTGCGATTTTATTGTTTGTTATTTTCTACCCCTGTTTACCTCTGTTTATTATTTTCTAATTCATGTCAATCTTGGATCAAATCGATATTGGTTTATACGCATAGAAGTCCAGGACGGACGGAGTATAACCGCATATAGGAGCCCATATTCGGTAGACTATGTGGGGATTACGTACCTTTACGCGTGGGGACCGGTGTTTAGAGGGAATCCGATGCCCGTCCCACTGCGCGACCGACGGCCGTCAGCAAGGGTAGTCGCCAGGCCGGGTTCGCCAGGCTATGCCAACAACCATGATCCCGGTATCCAACAGGAAAGAGACACTCCATGCGACATATGCAACCGCGAAAGGAAAACGATAGAACATGTAATTTTAAGGTGCACGGGGCTTTGTCCCACTGGGGGGGGGGGGGGGGGGGGGGGGGAGGGAGGGAGGGAGGGAGGGAGGGAGGGAGGGAGGGGGGAGGGAGGGAGGGGGGAGGGTTGATTATGAATTTAGAGAGGGCACTGGGATTCGCAGACATGGATGGGCGAATGGACAGGGGGGGGGGGGGGGGAGAATTGCGGTAACTGCAAAGAGATCGGAAAACTGGCGGAAAATATCTTGGGAGGGGTGAAAATACAGGTAAAAATAAGCATTGGCAACACTTTGGAAAAGAAAAAGGGCGAGGGGGATCGAGTATTGTTAGAACAAAATTTATACAAATTCTAAAAAAGAAGGTATGACGAAATGTTAGTCTAGGTGGCGCAAGCTGCCGCCCGTTACTATCCATCCATCTAGCGTTTATCGGGAAACGGGGGGTCCTCAACAAAAGGGGCTGCGATCAATCGAGACGTGGGCACAGGGTGTCCGCAGCGCTTGCCTACCTGAGAGCCAAAGGGGATCGCGAGCGAAGTCATAGCCGGTGGGCCAAGCACACAGTGCTGCCCGTCGTCGCAAGAGTTCAAGCAAGAGCTCTCGGCAGACGGACGTCAACTCGGAGGAGGGAACGCCCGACTGTTCCGTCAGAGTGGGAGCCACTTCCTTTCCTCCCCCACAAGGCAAACCGCGGACGTTCCTGCCGGAGTCGTCTGGCTTTGAGCCTGCTCGTTCCATATCGTGTCGGGGAGAGTACTTTCCCGCACACTTCTGCGCGTCTCTTGTTTTCGGGAGACCCGCGACAGATCGCGCCTGAGGGTCGGGTGTTCTCTCCTCCGAGTGGACGGCCGTCTGGCGACAAGTCCTGGAGTGGACTCCATACGACGGGTCGAGTCGCGGCGTGATTTCGTCCGACACGCAATGACTCAACGCTTGCGATTTCTCCGGATCTGGCAGTGGGCGTTCTCTCCTCGGAGTGGACTTCCGTCTGTCGAGAGCTCTTGCTTAAAGTCCTGCGACGACGGGCAGCAGCGCCAGCTCGGCCCACCGGCGATAACTCTGCTCGGCGATCCCCTTTGGCTCTCAGGTATACTCCGTTCACCCTTAAAGGGCAACTCCGGCCAAAACTCAAAATGAATTAAATTACTGGTATCGCTTTAGTGACACAAAATACGACCCCAGCCGAAATTTCACGTCCGTGGGACGCCGCATTCTCAACTAATGCCGATAATAAAAACGCGACCCGCCGCGAGCCGCTGCCCCTTAGCGGGCGGCCAGCGGGTTGCCGGTCGCTAAAGCAACATTGGGCCGTGATGTCAACATCTTTCTCTTTTTTTCCTCCGTTCCGGACGGGAGCACGGCGCAGCCGTCGCGCGCGCTTCTTTGTGCCGCTACCACCGCTACTTCGGCTTGTAATTGCGTGTTTAGCCGTTGCTTTTACCTGTAGCCCGTGTAGCTTCGGTATAGCCTTTTGTTTATTTGCTTGTGAGGTCTCCTAGACTCGTTTTAGCGAGCAACTCGGTGCGCCCAAGACTGCCCAGCTGTTTGTCAAAAGATGCCGAGTACAACTTAAAGCGCTGTGGGCTGCTCAAACAAGCCGCTGCGCAACCCGGAGGTGCTTTTTCCCAAGTTTCCAACGGATCGGAAATTGGAGAAGGTGTGGGAGAACGCTGTTCGACGAGTGGACTTTGGAAAGCCTTGGACGTCAACCCCCAGATCGAAGCTCTGCTCCGATCATTTTTCGCCGGAGAGTTACGAACGAAACCTACGGGTGTTGGTTGCTTGTGGCTTGTCAGCGAAGGGGTCGAGGCTTAAAAAGGATGCCGTCCCGTCGCTCTTTGCCCATCGTACTGTCGTGAGCAAAAGTCTGGATAACACGGGAGCGCCGACCGAATTGCATCGCCGCGCTCCCTGACGGCGCGGCGCCTGGTGCCGAGACCCGCGCAATGCGCACGCGCGTCCTTTTTTATCTGCTGGCCTACTCGTTCGCTCGCTTCAACGCGATGCGCTCCTGAGCGATTAAATGGGCGCTAGGTGCCGCCCCGGAAACCAAGATTCCGAGAGCCTCGCTCACCGCTCGGGAAGAGCTCGCGTGCTCCGCGGCACGCGCCGTTCGCGCATATCTTTCCCGCGACTCGGCGACGCGTTAAAAACTGTCGCTTCCCTCTATTCGTCATTTTTAAGCTTCCCGCTATATTTGCCCCGGCTATAATGCAAACAGCTGCTGCTCAATTTATTATGCACGCGCTGTAAAGGGTCAAGAAGTCAAGAAAACAACGAGAAAAAAAAAAAACATAATACTGGCCACAAATTCTCACCATGGTTGTTCGCGAAGTGACCTTAAAATGTTCAGTTTGACATCAGCTGTGATGACTTGTACCGGAAGTCATAAAATAAGGCGGCTATGCAACGATTTCTGGACAATGGCCAAATAATTATAGAAGTTGTTCTCCGACACTTCTAAAGTAAAGAACAGAAAAAAGATTTTTTCTGTGTGCCCTAATTATAATTTTAAACAATAGCAAAGATTCAAGTTTCCGGCACCCCTCAACTCTCTGAATGACGTGCTCAGTGACGTCGACGTGAGGATGCACCGGTTTCCGTGCGCTCTCCTCAAGGATGTTTATTCTTTCTCTCTCTACTGCTCTTCGTGAGGCGTTGATCTGCAGCGATCCCCGCGTCACCGTCAAGGCGCGTTTCCCATGGCCGCCGCGCACAACTGCAGAGAGGGAAATATTTCCATTTCTGCTTTGCGATTATACAACAGAATTGCAACATTTTGCAGGAAGGTGATACTTTTTCGATTTTTTCTGACGCCATCAACAATATAAAAATTACAAGCGACCCAAACTGAACCAGCGGCTCCTTTTCCTTCCATTTTGTTTCTTGTTTTTTCATGGGAGGGGGTTGAATAAATATTTCTTTCTTATTTGGCGTTTTCTTTTTGCTCGTCATTCACCACTTTACCGCGCGTGCATGATCACTCGGAAGGAAGCCCAAGGCTGCCTCGAGCACGCGAATACAAGTTCTAGAATTCATTGCGGCTGCATCAACATAAGCGACAGTTTTTAACGCGTCGCCGAGTCGCGGGAAAGATATGCGCGAACGGCCCGTGCCGCGGAGCACGCGAGCTCGTCCGAGCGGTGAGCGAGGCTCTCGGAATCTTGGTTCCCGGGGCGGCACCTAGCGCCCATTTAATCGCTCAGGAGCGCATCGCGTTGAAGCGAGCGAACGAGTGGGCCAGCAGAAAAGATAGGACGCGCGTGCGGATTGCGCGGGTCTCGGCACCAGGCGCCACGCCGTCAGGGAGCGCGGCGATGCAATTCGGTGGGCGCTCCCGTGTTATCCAGACTTTTGCTCACGACAGTACATGTACAGAAAAGGTAAACATGATAAAAGTATCCTGATCAATAAATAAAGCAGTCATTGTCAAGTGCAGTGTTAAAGATTGAGCATTTATGCTCCATTGAATGTCTGTTGAATGGGGAATGGTGGGCATGTAGAGTACAACCACTAACTAGCTCCAAACACTGAAGTTTGTAATGAAAACGAAAATAATGTTCTGCTTTGCGTCACTGCTTGTTTATTACGCAATCTCGTGCGTAGTATTCAGGTCCGTAACGACTACTAGCGAACAGCCGGCGCGTGAAGCTCATGCGATATAAACATTCGCCTCCCAATCGTTCCAACCCGTTACGTAGCAGTATTAATTAACATTGCGCTTGTGAATACCACAAGGGACTTTAAAGAAATCGCGAAAGTTCGGATTTGTAAGTTACAACTCTCTAATTTGCCCGAGTTCGGCTGGAGGTAATATAATATTTAAAAATGCAAAAAAACAAACGAAAAAAAAACACTTGCATTAGTCAAAAGTTACGAAGGAAAACTTAAAATCCTATGTATTCTAATAAAAAAAAATTGTTGTGGGTGGGGGCGGGAATGCGGAAGGGAAAGAAAGTGTTCTCACCTTGCAAACTTTCTCTGTTTTCCTTTATCACCCACAAAAACTTTTGCTAGCTTTGAGAAGAAAATGACTGCCCAAAGAACTTTTCTTTTTTTTTAAGTGCGGAAAGTTTTTTTTTATTTGTTCAAAGATTCCCTACCTGGACGAACTTATGTGGTGAATTAGTGTCGTAGCTTACAAATTCAGCTTTTACGCGCCTGAGAAAAAAATAACAAAAAAACAGACGTTTACAGCTTGACACACGTCTGTTCGGTTGTTGCGGAAAGCGCCGGAGAGCCTCAAAGCTTCGTGTCTGGGACTGACCCGCCGCGCGAAAGCGCCAGCACTGTACGTCACTGGCAGCGCGGCGTAGAGCAACGCCGCTCCATCCACGGAGTCCCGATGACAATTTAGGCCTAGCGACGAGTGCGGGAGACCGCACGCACGCCGACAGCTGCCGAGTACGGCACCGAACGAGTTCACTCGTTTTCCAGTCGCTAGCTTTTGGGATACAAGCAACGAGTACGGCACGGCATAGCGGAGGCGCGGCGGCGGCCGCCGAGTACGCCACCGAACGAGTTGACGGGTTTTCCAGTCGCTAGCTTTCGGGTATACGCACTAACTCTTGCTACATATGCTGGATAGCTACCACATATACAGAATTAAGACAAAATCAGTTTACCTTCTATCTTTAGACGACTAGCGCAACAGAGGTAGGTGCCGCTTGGACTGCGTACTCGCTGAACGAGAACGATCTTGGCGTCACGTCCACATAGCGGCTCATTTCCAGTGTTGCCGGAACCTCGAGCGGCTAGTTTCGGTTTTGTCGGCCGCGCCCCAAACAAAACTTTGAGACGTTGATATCTTTAAAACTACGCGCAATAACGAGAAAAAAATTACACCTTGCAACTCAAGGGCGCTAACTGCACTAAAAACAGCCATAATCCCAAAATCGACAGTATGGACCGGAGTTGCCCTTTAAGCCTAGTTCACATGCAGCGGTTTTGGCCCTAGAGCGGCGCGATTTCTGCCGTCGCGGCGCTCTGGCCAGCACCAGCAATTCAGTGGCACGAGCGCCGCGACGGCAGAAATCGCGCCGCTTTAAGCGGGTTTCACATGCAGCGATTTTCGCCCTAAAGCGGCGCGATTTCTGCCGTCGCGGCGCTCGTGCCGCAGAATTGCTGGTGCTGGCCAGAGCGCCGCGACGGCAGAAATCGCGCCGCTCTAGGGCCAAAACCGCTGCATGTGAACTAGGCTTTAGGGCCAAAATCGCTGCATGTGAAACACGCTTTAGGCTGAGACTATACAAGCCTTTAGCACGAGCTTCCTGCACTTCCTAACACCAGTGGGATCGCGCAGGCTCGCGCTACCGGAGCACTGCGGAAGCCAGCAAGCTTGGGCTGAAGGTGGAGCTTCTAGTCTTAGCTTAAGGGTCAACGAAGTTAAAGGGCCCATGAAACGAATTTTGGGTTGGGATAAATGAATTTAGATTGGGATTTTGTTAGTAATAGCACATCGTTCAATGGGCCAGAAGGAAAAATGTAGAAAATCAAAAGCTTCAATTTCGGTACGAAAATTTGAAAACCCAGCGGATTATTTCGTAGATCCTTTCCTTCGTAAGGTCTCCACCTTTTCACTGATACATTTGTCGTCCTCAAAGCGCGTCACCGGGCCCAAACGCGCGTCAAACGCCACCGGATTTCACTTATTTCCTTCGCCCCTAAGCTGACATTGCAGTGGAAGCTACGCACTTGCCGGACCAATCAGCCGCCTTTCTTTCATCACCTGACCTCATTCTAGGCGCGTGGGAGTGCGCTAGAGAGCGTCATCACGAGCACGTAGCTTCCACAGCACTGTCAGCTTCGGGGTGAATAGGGTGAGGAAAAGCAACTTTTGTCTGCATTTTGAGCGACGGGCTGATTTTCTAGGTGGAGAATGGCTGTGTCCGGGTACACAAACGAGAGTCCGAGCAAGAGGGGACTCCCTCCTTTCCGTCTTCTTGAACTGTTTGGTACAATGCACGATTTGAGTTGTGGAGGAAAGCTAAACAGGAAAAAGTTGGAAAATGTGTACACGGCTTGCCTGATAGCAGTGTCTTGTCGGGGACCCCTGTTTCCCAATAAACGCTCTTTGGATACCGGGATCATCGTTCTTGGCGTGAACTTGACGAACCCGGCGCGGCGACTGCCCATGCTGATAGCCGTCGGCCGCACGATGGGACAAGCATCGGATTCCCCTTCGAGCACCGGTCTTAGGGCGTAAAGGTACGTAACCACCACAATTAGTACCAACACATTAGCATGTATTTTCTCTCGCAATAGATACACGTTTTACGAATCTTACTAGCAACCATGGCTTCCCCCTTTTTTTTTTCTACGTTGATGTGTTATTTGCCTTTAATGTTGGTGCTTTTTGTCTGTTTCTTTTTCTAAACTGCTGTATTTTTGTGTTTACGTTTTGGTGCCTCATTAAGGAGGCATTATATATGTTTGTGAGCTCCAAAATTGTTCCAATAAATACAACTTTCCAATGTTTTTTGTCCGTTTTTGAAGGGATGACTCACGTCCAGTTCCATATGTCCTCGAGGGCACTATTCATCACCGAGCGGCCCCTGGCGACCCCCCTGACGGACGTCCAAGCGTTATGATTCCCGATATGATCTCCACGTGCCTCCAGGCCGTGTGGAACAACACCATCGCAGTGAGCACACCCCTGTGTACTCAAACCAGCAATAGTTTAGTCGGTAGCGATCAAAAAAAAATTGTTCCCGGCTGCAGCAGACCTTTTTTGAGCGACGAGCGTCTTCTGGGAGGTTGTCTGCGAACTAAAAATGAGGGGCAGCCCTGGGTTTCTCCGCTCGATGCCTCTCACTACCGATGATCCAAAAAAATCGTCAAATAAAAGGAAATATTCTCAAAGATGGGTGTTGACGATGTTGGTCGTGCGTGAAGGGTCCTCCCGAGAGTGGCGATAGCGGACACCAAATCCAAGGGAGATTGTGTCCGCAGTCCCAAATGCATACTGGACACAATTTTTGAAAGTAACAGGAGCTTCGTCATGCGTGAGAGAGCGTGGGTTAGCAATTTCCCTAGGCCGATTAAAAGGGATGCTGAACCAAACACGTTAGTGTCTATAATGAGTGGCGCACTATCTTTCCGTGAGTCAGCAGTCACCGTTGTGCCCAAGCACACGCAACGAAATTGACGTCATCATATGATGACTTCAGTTTTGTTGCGTGTGCTCGCGCACAACGGGACAAGTTATTAGATTACCTCAGTTACAGAACTGCTCATAGACGCTGCATACACGAACAGACGAACAGAACCACCCCCCCCCCCTTCCCTCACCACGACTCGCCTGGCGTCGCTCGACGTGCCACCGGACGGCTGCTTTGGTAACTGCAGTGTATTTGGTGGGAATCGGGATACGTACGTTTCGAAGCACGACGTCTAGATGGCGCTTAAGCTCGGCTCTTTGGAACGCACAGTTATAAAACAAAAATCTAGATGGCGCTTCGAACGACGGCAGGCGGATTGAAGTGCGTGACGGGGATACCCCCTTCCGCTTGACTTCCACAACTGAGGTAATCTAGAAACGTTGGCTCGCGCACACCGGTGGCTGCTGACTCATGGAAAGGATGACGTCAATTTCGTTGCGTGTGCTCGCGCACACCGGCGGCTGCTGACTCCTGGAAAGATAGTGCGCCACTCATTATTAGTGCAGAGATGTTTCGGTGGCGCCCTCTTATGGTTTCCCTCCGTGACGTCACGACTGGGATTTGCCTCGCCGTGACGTCACCAGTTGTTATTCTGGCTACTTACCGTCGGGGGCGACGACGAGTTCGATGGTGTGTTTAAGAAGCGTAACAGAAGCTAGGAGCCATCGCAATCCGAAACTAACACCCTCAAAGTTGACAATCTGACAGTGTTCATATACCCATGGTTTGGCCAATCGTGGAAAACTGACTACAGCGACGCTTTTGTCCGCGCACAATAGGCACTGAAATATTTGGTTCAGCATTCCTTTAACGCGAGGAACCTACGGCGAACGCTTTTGCATGCCGCGTGGTATGGAGCCCTCAGTCAGCGCTCAGAAAACTCTTTTTTCTGGAGCCATCATAGCTAGCAATTCTGCAAAATAGCACAACCTGACTGCATAATTTACGCGCAGGAGCACCTTTGTACGAAAGGAGGCGGCACTGGAGGCTCACAAACACCGCTAAAAGGGGGGAATAGAAAGCTAGGAAAGCAGCTCTATTCACTACTTTACAAAACGAGGGCACGGCATGGAAGAACCAGAGCACCAATGTTACGCCGTAGCCCAGTGTTGCTTGACTTACTGTTAACACGTTGGCCGCCTGCTAAAAAGGCAGCTGGTTGCGTCTATAATACCGGCTTCAGTGGAATACGCGGCTTCACTTTGACGTAACACGTCGGTTGGGATCATATTCCGTGCCACTAAAGCAATAACAGTCATTTAATTTGGTTTCATTTTTGAGCAGAGTTGCTTATTAAGTAGCCTTAAAGGGGCACTGACACCCCAAGGGTCTTATTTTCTTATTTTTTTACTGTCTAAAGCGACGCAAGCTGTAGTCATAAACACGCAAAAAATGCCGCATCGCGAAAAAAAAAAATTTCGCGCGCGGGCCTTTTAATTTTTGGCGTTCTGCTCTCCCCCTCCTTGCTTCTTTTGATTTGTGACGTCAAGAATCATGAAATTTAGGAGCTTTGAAGGCTACATTTCTAACATTTATTAACGGGAATCGCAAAACACATTTTTTAACGCAATCGCGGACGCACTACGGACCTTCTTTTTGAAATGCCAAAAATCGAAGTCCGGTGTGATGTCGCCTTCTGGAATTGTATCCTCCCTCGGAAAACATGCCGCCTGGGCAGGCGGCACTGCTCGCACGGGTGTCGTTCGCCGGAGCCCTCATCTCCCGCTCCTTCCCTCCTAGCTTCGGGTCGCGGTGGCAACAGCACGGAGACGTGAAAGAAAGTCGACTCTCAGGACTCCGGAATATTTGACGTCAACGCACCGGCGCAGATCGCGCGGAAACTTCGAATTCGGCATTTGGAAGTTGTTTTCTTTTTTACTTCACAAATGCTGAATTCACCAATTCGGAATTTTAAGAGTAATGTCCCGGCATCGTTTTCAATTGTTTCGGATAATAAAAAATATCTGATCTTGATGGTGTCAGTGCCCCTTTAAGAATAAATAAATCGGTTCCTTCTCGCGTGTCCCAGGTCAGTGATTCACCTACATTTAAATTTATTTCTCGAAGGTCTCCGGTGACCGGGAGTACAAGGGCAGCGACGTCCTCCAAATGATCAACATGTACGCAAATAGGTTTGTCGCCCACGGCCTCCATCCGGGCCAAAGGGTGTGGGCGAAGCTCCACAACACACTGCAGAACTGGGCCGCGTCCATGGGAGTCATCTTCGCTGGCGGAGTGTTGTTTCTCAGTAGCAACTCACTCATAGGAGGTACTGTACTTGTCGATTTATTTATTTGTTTATTTCGCGTTATCCCGCAGATGCCCAGGGGCCTTAAGGTCGATTCACACACTTTTCTTGAGTACGACCTAGTGTGAGCACTGCAACGATGTTGCCAAGATTCGAGCTCTCAACTAATGGCAATCAAAAAAAAAGTTTCAACACCTGCTAGACTTTCCTATTAATGCCAAAGAAAAGCATTGGACTAGATTCAAATGTTACCAGTTTATTCCGCTTCATTATGAAATCGTTAGTGAATATACTGTGCGTGTTTAGGCTGTGGGAAGGTATAGTTAGCCTCAATGGGGCGTCTTCAGTATCCACTGTAGATGCGAAGTATCTTCCGTGTAGTAACACTGCTAGCTAGCCTTTAACGGACATCACGTGATAGCGATGACACGACTGTGCTCCGGTGCAATGCCCATTCGAGCAACTCAGAACGATGGGGAGTGATACCTGGGTTCCGCAGCTCGAGTTGTCGCTTCAGGTGCTCAGAGCTTCGGTGTGCTAACAAGCTCGACCCCCCCCCCCCCCCTTTAATGGACCTTTTTCTAGTAACGAGCGCCGTCTGGGGAGCTGTCTGCGAACTACAATCGAAGAGCAGCCCTACATGCCTCCGCCCGTCAAAACACATTGGCATCGTGCCGTTGTATTGGTTTTCAGTGCTCTCTATACCCCATACTACCGATACTAAAAAAACAAAGCGTCAAAATAGACTAAATACGCGCGAAGATAGACGCTGACAATGTTGCTGTCGCCATTTTCGCAGGGCACCGCGTCCCGGTGTCCTGCGAAAATGGCGAAGGCGGGAGTGTCCGCATGCGCAGAAGCTTACTGGAAAAAGGTCCATTCTCATTGAAATGACTGCCTATTATGTGGTAGGGGTTCAAGAGTTTCAATGAAAGTTGCGATGCGCGTTTTCAATCAGGGGCTTCTATCAATCTGTTGGTGGAGAGCGGAGCCCGGTATATCCTCACGGACGAAGGAAACAAACCGCTGTTGCAACAGTGGATCGCCGACGACGCGCGCACTGCGCCACCTCGGGTGAGCAGGTCTATATGTATCCTCCCAAGCAGTGCTGAGTCACGCGATGCTATGCGGAGCGCATGTTCGTCTGCTGCTCTTTGCAGAGATTGAAGTGACGTCATAACGCCGACCTCTGACTGTCAAGGATAGTAGGTAGGCCTCAACGCAAGCTGCCTCGAAGTCTACACGCTACCTTTCCGTTAGAGCCGATCGGAGATCAGCTCTGATTGAAAGATAGCGGGTAGATAGGAGGGTAGCACCTGCAGCCGCAAACCCCTGCTCGGACAGCGCGCCAATGATAAGCTGGACTTTGTTATTTTAGAGCACGTCTGAAAGTGCTCAAAGCACGACACGAGGTCCCGTCGTTACATTGCTTCCTCATTAATCTTTCGCGGGCTTTTTTTTAAGGCTAATAAAAAGAAGAGCGCAAATCGTATCATATAGGAAACACCTTAATTGCGCGTTTTTCAATGCGCTTTATTCCTTTCCAATCCTCACCTCGGCACTTCAACGAATAAATGAAAGAATTCATAAGTAGTCTTTATTAACTAAACACCTAGACTCACTAAAGAAAGTTCACATTTTTAAAAACATTTTCTAACAAAATACAGTGAGTTCCACTCTCTCAGAGCGCTCCGTTTTTTTTTTTTTTTTTTTTGTAAAGTTTGGTGCAAGTTATTTGGGACACCATGTATATTCCGCACCCAGCCCTTGTTAACCTACACCATTTTTATTTCAGTCTAGTTTTACTTTTATTACTCCGAAGCTTTATTTTTTAATAAATTTTAAATCTATGCTGTACCAGCGACAATCGGTGCCGGTTCTTTTTTTTTAATTTTTCCTAAATGGTTTGCATATTTCCATATACTACTACGCGTCGTAGCCTGGCCGAAGCGCGGCGTCTATTATTGCCGTACTTCGGTTTCATTAGTTTAATGATTGTCCACATTTCAAACAATAAAATGTTGCAATCAGTCGAAGAAAAGGACAGATCTAACATAGCTAATTCACATGGGTGCCTTTTCAATCGAGAACTTTTGGGGTATTTTGGAACTGAAAACTCTTCCGCGCCGCTCCTCGTAGGGCTGTGGAATGGAGGCGAAGGCCTCACTAAATCACTAGCTTCAATAAGGGCTTCACATACATTGCCTTTACTATCGTTTGTTTTTTGGCTATTTAAACTCATTGCACGCCACAGTTCGTGTCAGGGATGGTACTGGGCTCTTATTTACTTTGTTACTCGCCGGAATATCTTTTGCTCTAGCCATTGTTTTGAGATCACAGTTCGCAACAAGCTGAATTGTGGTCAACGGTGAATGGCACGTATTGTCCAAAAGCGGTTTGACTTGACCACCCCTGTTCTAAAGCATTTGGAAAGGCCTGCTACGAAGGAAGAGCGTGAATTCCTTCTCTTTCTGTCTCTCCTCTGTGTCTTCTACGTGCAAAAAAAGGAGCGCGCAGGACTTCGCACTTGGCTTTTAGGGAATTTTTGTGTATTCTTGGCGAGCCGCCGAGCTTCTGTGCGTGCCCTCATTTAGTACGTTTACTAATACTGAAGCGCGCGCAGCTGGCCAAGTAGGCAGCGAGCGCGTGGCCTAACGGTTATCGTACCTGGCTCCCACGCGGAAAGCCAGGGTTCGATTCCTGGAAGCGGCGTACCTTTTCTTTACTCCTGCAGACTAGTATTCTGGTAAATTCGAGAACCGTCTTGGCTGATTCGAGGTTAGAATGTTCTACGCGCCGAACCTTCTACGCCCAACGCTCCAGAAGCCAACGCGGGTACAAAAGCGGCTCCGCGTGGCAAACCGGAGTCAGTTTCGCCCCAGCGTTCGACTCTGCTGTCACGCCGACTTCGACGCCCGCGACGCTCTGTTCGTCTTCTTTGTGTTCTCCCATTAAACGGGAGAACACAAAGTGTTCGCCCCATTAAACGTTTAGATTTCTTCAGTTATCAACGCCTCATCAATTGTCATTCGTGACATACAGGCTGCCTCGAATTTGTCGTTAATTTGAAAGTTATTGCATAACGGTGTATTGTGACCGTAGAAAGCAAGTCGGGCGGTTTTTCTGCTATATCTAAACATCTTCATTCAAAACAATTACGTTCTTTTTTTTGTATTTCTAGCCGATTCATAGGCGCCCTCATTTCCGCAGACTGGAAAAGCCCTTATTGGCTTGCTGTTTCTTGTTCTTTCTTTTAGAATCTATTCACCTATCTCGCCGCCAGTTTGGAAGATGACTCCTCTTCCTCGGGCGATGAAAAAAGGGATTTCGATGTCTACAGTCCCAGGAGCAACTCGTGCATCGGCTTTGTGCTCTATACCCCGGGTTACACGGGACCCCCAAAAGGCGTGGAGTTCTCTCATAGAGCCTATGTGACAGCTTTTCGGATCTGTCGGTGAGTACGCAGGTTCCCAGTGGCCAATCGAAACCATTCTGTAGAATAGTTCGCAGCACGAACAACGTGTTTCTATGTCAGTTGCATTATTGTCTCGTTATATCTGAGGCCTAGCTCGGCTCAGATCTAACAGGAAAGGTGAGACGCTTTCAAAACAATTTCGACAGCTTTTAGGCAGACCGCAGCTCTTCCTTGGGCTTAGAATATATAAACTATAATAACAGGCGGAAAAATCGGGTGCTAAAATGGCGAGTGTAGCAGAACCTCGCAGACTAAACTTGAAAATATTGAATTCGTACGCTCTAAGGTTGTGTTATGAGGACGGTGTTACCTCTTCCGGAACTCGTCGTATCCACACATCTTCGATTTTGAAGCTTCTAGGAAGACATAATTTAGGAGACGAGCTCCTAATAGTTACTCACCGATCAAATGTCATTTTTTTAAGCACCCCTTCTAGCATTACTTCTCTATACTATGTATTTCCAATCGACTTCTTTTGTTTTTTTTTTATTCTTGCCTATGTCGAGGACAACATGAATGCAGAGCTTGAGCGGTACATCGGTAACTTTTGAGTTCTAGTCACTGACAAGCTAAGAAACATGTTGCGTGGCTTATGTTGTGCCACGTGCGTCGTTATTTGTTCTTCGGTGCTTAATATTCGGTACTGCTACAATATCATTGGCTGAGGAGGAATCCTGAGATGCACTATACTTCATTACGTCCGGACGCAGCGGACGCCTTCGAGCTATCCCAGCCAATCCCACTCTGTAGACGTAGCCCGTGATACGCTTCCCGCGCGTCGCTCTCCCCGCTCTCCAAGGTGACGTGACACTCACGTGGCCTTTGATTGGCTCCGATGGCTCGTAGCATCTGCTGCGCTCGGGCGTAAGGCGAAACAGAGTTCAGACTCGTCGACCCCGCCTTTTTAAAGCTGTCACTGACTGTACTCCGTAGCCGCCTCGGTGGCTCCGAGGCGAGAGCGCTGGCCTACGGATCCCCATGTGGCGGGTTCGAATCCCGGCCGAGGTGCCCGCAATCTGACGGAGGCTTATTGCAGAGGAGGCGCCGTGTAACCGAGCTTTTGGTTGCACGTCAAAACATCCCCAGGTGGTCCAAATTAATCGTCAGTCCTCCGCTGGGGCGTGCCAGATGCCCGTCGTTGGTTTGGCACGTAAAACCCCCAAATTTGATTGACTGTACTCCCTTCGACCGTACGCTGACTAGTGCGGTGGAAGCTACATGTCCGTTTGACCAATTGTGCGTTGGTCTTTCGTCACCTGAAACCCAGCCGTATACGCGTGCGTGCGCTTAGAGCGGAGTCGGGTGGCTAGAGTGAGCCGGCTGGATGGTCCGGCTAGCCCACCGACCTGTCAGCTTCGATGTGAACTGAGCATGTAGTTCCTTTATCCTTGAAGTACACTATGCATGTTGTTGTTGTTAATACGTTTATTGAACCAAGGGATTACACCAGGAACAGAAGTCCGGTGCGACGCGGTCGCAGCTATGGCGTGCATACACTATGCATAAAATAACGTAGTCGGTAGCTGCCCTTCACCACATTGGACATGTCCTTCGCGGACACATGTCTTGGCAGTTTTGAAATGTGAATTCCGCAATGCAGTGGTCGCGTACACTAGTACTGTGCCGATTAACCTCTAGGCAATTTAGCGACAATTCGTTTTCGTACGTGTGTTAGGAAGGGTTGTTATGAATTTTTAAACAAATGTTTTACATTGCTCTTAGTGGGAAGCGAACTTTTTTCTTTGCCAGGTCGTCAGTTAGGGACAAATGTTCAATTGACAGGCGGAATCAAAGGAATATATTGCCTTATGGTGAATTCCACTAGTAGATCCGGAGCGATTGCCAAAATTCATGAGGAAGGCAAAATTGCGCTCTGTGGGACCCTCTCCGAATCCGCGAGCGGAAGATGAACTCGCATTTTTGGAGCGACCCACCGATTCGCCAGAGGAGGTTGGCCTTTCAAAATAGCCGCTGCTCGAACTTGACAAGCCGATTAACCCCTCAGCCCGTCAGCCTACTGACCTTTCTGACGACAGGTGACAGCTGTCACTGCTTAGCTGAAGAAATAACACGTGACACAGGCCGGTCGAAAATATTCGTACCACGGAGCCCATGTCACAAAGAACGAGGAAGACGTCCGCGTTCGGCTCCGTCACATTCCTTTCGACCGCATGGAAGTGGCGGCGCACGCACAGCGATTACCATCGGTGAAATTCAGATTGCTGATAAGACTTTAGTACACACAGAGGTAGCAAATCATCCCTTGCACGGTCGTTCCCTAATATGTTCTTGCTTTATTGCACGAGGAAACGCCGGCGGCATGCGGTGTAAAAAGGTAGACAATCAGTGGCGGCAAAATGAACAGGCCTAACCTTGCGTCTGCCTTCTTCAGATTTTCTGACGTTCTTTTTCTCGCTCTTCTGCTCACAATCACAGATGTCAGCGCTTACGATTTGCCACGCACCAATCCCGGCTTCGTATCCCTGATCCACACGAGGTAGAAGCGTTCGAGTCGTCCCAATGTCGCGTAAACAACCGACGCATCCGAGCACATCCAAATCGCCCGATTCCACGGGCCGGTCCGGTGACCTCGTGGCGCATGTGCACCGCCGGGTTAATGAAACTGACGTGGCGCTCTTGTCAACTTCCGCCAAAATTTCTGAAATCTCGCGGGTCAAGTTCGGCGGGGTTGGAGGCGCTCCACGGACCGGGCGCTGCCAGAGATCTACAAAAGGAAGGTGGCCAACTCGAGCCAGATCTGTGAGCGGAATATGCGCGCTCATAATGGAGCACTTTTGGAGCGCTCAAGATCTGCGATCGGAATTCACCATCAGCTACGCTATGGCACTTAGAGCACGCCATTCCCGCCTGATGACGCCATAGAAGTGCCATGCGTTTTGCCTGTCACAATCCTATAGCGGCGGCACAGTAGGAGTGTGCGGAACAAGCCTAGTCCGCTGTAGGTCGCTCTGCGGTTTGACAGTTCACGGAAGCTTCAATCGCCAGGAGAGAACTATTTTTCCATTTAGTTTTGACTCTCTCCACTTAGAATTCAGCCATAAGTTGGGACGCTGCGACGACCGCAACCTTTGCGTCAGCTCGCCTTGTCAAAGTTTCTACGACTAATACCCAGGCTCGCGATATCCGACAGCATGACCTGCTGGATCCCGTAACGTAATTTGTTGCCACATCAGGACCCTTTTCGTTCTATGGCCTGTTTTCAACGGTTACACACCAGTTAAAGACGCGTGCTGGGCACCGTGGCAATGCTTTGGTTGTTGAATTACTGAGGTGTCTGAATGAGTGTTCCTCAATATATTTTTTGATCTTTTGGTCCTCCTCGACGCTGCGGGGGCCTTGCAGAACACTGGGACATGTCGGGGAAGGAGACGTCTACCTCGCGTGGAGTCCTTTGGCACACGCGTTTGGATTCACGCTGAACGTGTTCCCCATGTTTCTTGGAGCAGTGGTCGTATTTCAAGAGCCAACACTCACGTTCAGGGAGTTCAAGAACGTACTCGAAACCAGATATGTGAGTAGCCTTTTTGTCATCCGTTCAACTCGCAAGACAGGATCTCTTAGTACAGCGCGCAATGTTGGTTTTAACAAATTACCCAAAAATAAATAAACAATTAGATATGTACCATTTTGACTAAGCAGTGCTGAGAAGACGAGTGTCGCCCGTCCTTCCGAAAACTGAAATCAAAATGGATAGAAACCGCTGGGAAATAATCGGATCCTGCCGAACAAATAGATATCATTTGTGTTTGTACCAACCGAAAGTCTTCTACTAAATATTCCAAACAATCATTGGAGCTAAGCAAAGTTGTTAAAAGCTTTGCAGAGTCATAGCCTCCTATGTTGATACAAAAACCTGCTCTTCCGGCGCCAGAAATATGACAGTCACATTACGGTAAACGGGGACGCAGAAGAGGCAGAGAAAAACGTTCTCGTAGGCGCTGCGTTCCGAAGTTTAGAATGCTGTTGGAATCAAAATGAACCCCAATAATTGGCTAAAGGTGCTCTGAATGCCGTATAATGTCGAGCAACATGACAGTTTTTTTTTTTTCAGAAGCCTATACATCGCTTACGAAAAGAGAAAGGGCCTTTGACGTATAGGCATCACAGCTCAGCCTGAGCAATCCAATCAGGTTGCTTGTACACCTTTTAGAGCCCAGCTCTTAAGCGCCCGTTTCCGGCTTCAGGGGCGTCGCCGTCGGCGTAACCGCGCGTTGCATTATGGGGCGTTTCCAATATTGACGTCACACGTGACGTGACTGACGTCACGTATGACGTCACGAGGGCAATATTTTCCCACTAAATGTAGCGGGAAACTTTTCCGCTAAATTTTGTCCAGCTTGTTTCCCCAGAGTTGTGTTAACCAACACAAGGTAGGTGCACTGGATTATTGATTTCATCTTTCACGATTGAGCGCGGGGTAAAGACTGGGCACGACATGTGCCCAACTTTTCGGTACGTCCGCGTTCTGCTTCTCTGGTTGAACAAGAGCCCCAACCGAGCGCGAACGCAAAGTTCGTCCACGTAGCTCGAGCGCTGCGTCAAAACACAAACAAATAATATATGTTGAAATTGTCCCCATCGGTGTAATTCTCACTTTAGCCGCCAGGGACGCGACTGTTGATCTCATTTTTAAACCACGCCCATTTATTGCGGAAAGTTGTTTAAGAAAAATGAAGGGTCTTCACTCCCGAAACAATTGTATGTCTTTCAAACAAATTTGAATGATCGCTCCTTGAATACCGCATTCCATTCATTAAAAAAAAAAACTAAAAAACTTGAATGTGTATATATATATATATTTTTTTTTTATTTGCGTAAATCTGCGTTGTTTCCCTTCTCCCAGTTTCGGGTTAATTTACGCCATGGCTGTCCTTCTTACAAGTGCCGTTTCGTTTTCGCCTAGGTGACGGCAATGTTCTGCTTTCCGAAGATGATACTTCGAGTGTTTCAAGAGGCCAAAGAGAGAAAGCGAACCGCGGGGGACTGGAGGAGAACGTACAGGTTCCCAGCAGTCAACAAGATCTTGGTTGGTGGCCAGTGGATTCCCGAACACCTGCCCAAAAAGCTGATGGATCGCTTCGGGTGCCAGCGCTTGTGGCGGTACTACGGGCTCACTGAGACTCTTGGCGTGGTCGTTGAATCTGAGTACACGGGAAACGCCATGCGCTTTCGGGGTTTTGTGGTTCCCAAGGTCAGAGCAAAGGTAAGCAAAAATTGCTTTATTTTATTTTTCATTTTCTGGAGTTTTTTTTAATATTTCGGCTTAAGCATACTTACTTTTTCGGAGCACTGTGTAATTAAGGGACTGTGATAACTTCGCAGGTACCGCTCCCAGTAGTCATAGATTTTTTGGGAGGATTTTGTTTTGCGTTTTTGTTAAATTTAGTACGGGTGCAGTTCAAAGTATTAATCCACGTTAGTGCGTTTTCGCCTCAGTCTTACATGTGTAGAACAGCCGCCCTTTTGAAGGAATCAAATGCTATCTCAATGCTTCCTGATCGAACATTTCAGTGTGTTCACAGCCCTTCGGTTCTCAAACTTTAGCCTAGATGTATAGTTGCAATATAGTAAAGGTCGGACTATTAACTTCCAGTGGAGAAATCGAACGCAGGCTCATATCTTGCACGACAGGTCAGACTTGCTTTGAACTGAATACATTCTCGCATATTTCACATAGTTGCACCGCAGTTATCATGTGAATGTTTAGCTTAACACGTCAGTGCAGACTGGATAATATACTATATCGAAGTCGTGTCCATCCGAACTATATTTCATCTTGTTTGTTGTTGAAACTTTAGAAAGGATAAGTAGTTTAAATTCATTTGTAGTAAAAATGCTCCCCTAACCGTTCTTTTTTATGCTGCTCATTGAATATGTTATATAAGTCTTTCTATATGCTGTGCTTAGACGTTAAGTCAATTTAAATTTTTTTTTGTTTCTTACCCGGTTGTAAATCTAAAGTAGAACATTCACAAGTTTTCTCCCTTTATTTACTGTCCGTTCGAAAAAAGGAAAGCCCGTCGTTTCGTTAACTTGCACACAACTTGCCCAATCTGTTTTTTTTTTCTTTTTTTTTTCTGTTAAGCAGTTTAGGCAGGAAGGCTTCCTGTAGTAATTCGGTGGAACCGCGGGTTCCGTTATTCAATTTTTAACTCAAATCTCGACACGCTGCAAAACCCAGGTGTCCTGGGTTTAATCCCCAATCCTACCCGTTTTGATCTGGATGAGCATCATACCGGCATGCGGTCGTGTATCACAACTGCGTGATGCAAGTTAAAGACCCCAGACTAGCGATAGTATTGCACTGGCTAAATTTCTCATCTCCATCCGGGAGACTCGTCGCCCGTTGAGGCAGGCCAAGTTCTAAGCTGTATACACATACACAACACATTTACTTTAAATCGCAACAAACAGGTATGTGTACTGACGTTAAAATGTTTCATATTATTTGCTATACCAACGCATAAAAAAATAATGGCATAATAGAAAAAAATAGAATAGCTTTTTCAATTGTGACTCTAGCGCCTTCGTTTACCCACTCACGTCGTCGGCAACTTTTGTAAAATTGCGCTATAAATCTTCTTTTGGTGATTGTTCTTGTCGTGTTGCACCTCAGAGGGGTGTAAAACTTTTTTTTGCTTGTGGAAGCCCTGAAACTAAATTTCCCAGTACTTACGAAATGGGCCATAAAGTTATTTGCTGAGTATGACATTCAAAATGATTAAGCAAAAAAAAAAAAAAAACTTAGAGTTAACCTTTGTTACATTTTTTTTTCGTGTTTGCCACGCAGTACATGCCTTCGAGCGACGAGTACGAGCCATGCCCTCCAGGGATTGATGGGGAGTTGTGTGTCATGAGCCCAACCATGATGACTGGGTACTACAAGTGCAAGGAAAAGGCTGCAGCTGGAGGTCAGCCTCCGCAATTCGGTGGGGGTGACAAGTACGGCGAGGATGCATTTCTCAGAACAGGTATGATTGCCGTATTAAAACCATTTTTTTTTTTGCAGCTTAATGAATTGTTTGTTTCTGCCATTACAACACTCTCTCAAACTTTTTTTTCATGGAAAGACGACAGTAAGTCTGTTGTACAAAGCTTGATAACAAATTTGCTCCTTATTTTTATTCAGCAAAAATAAAATGGTAGAATAAAAAAAAAAAAAAAAGACTGACACTAGTGTTTGAGGGACTGCTCACTTTGCACTCGGCCAGGGGGGGGGGGGGGGAAATGGATGTTCGGTAAAACTCTAAGAAAAATTTGTGTCGATTTCTTATTAGTACTAATTACTTCCAGTGTACGTATTACATTGACTTATTTCTAAAACAGAAATCGCGAGAAAGCCTAGAGTTTGGAGTTTCCAAACTGCTCGATCGAAGTCAAGTGTTTGAAATACACGCTACTAAGAGGGAACGAAAGCGTTGAATGTATGCACTATGGTAATGTCCACGAGCCTTCAAGTTTCCACTATTTCCTCCTTGACACGAGACAACCCCGCATATGTGCACTTGCAGACAATTCGTGCAGAAGGCGTCCGCCCTTTTATTACAGATGCTCTCCGTGATTTGATTTGCTTTCTCTCTTAAATCTAGCCATTCTAGAATTGTGAGAACCGATCTCTTCAGGACTAACGAATTCACGGGCAGTGGAGCGTCGGTCAGCAGAATCCGCGGTTTCCGCAAGAACTTCAGTAGATAAGGCATCTTTAAAAAAGCCACGCGCTTGCGAGATCGATGACGACAGCGATCAGAAGAATTGTAGCACAGAATTCTTAATCGGCACTCTATAGGAATTGATTTCCTCCACTCATTCAGGTGACTACGGCTGGTGCAACCACAAGGGATACATTGAGTTGCACGGCAAGGTCGGCGATATCATGAGCCTGTCCGGACTCACGGTGTTGCCACACGAGCTCGAGGACGCGCTACGAGGACTTACCTTCATCAAAGAAATCTGCGTTTTTGGCTCCCTATCCGAGAGCGTTCCTGGTGCGGTGATTGTTCCGAAATACGATCTGGATATTGAAGATTGCGACGCGGAGCGCCAAGTGGCCGACTTCCTGAGACGTGAGTCAATTTTGAGGGTCTTCCTGAGAAACAAACAGAAACAACCTACTTCACATCTGGAAACAATTTCCGAATTTCGAAAATTGGTCCGAAGGCCAGGGGACCATAAGTTCCAAAATAGGGTCTCCTTCCAGTTGTAAGAAACATACCCTGCAATAACCACACCGCCGACTACCGCCTAAAAAAACAGTCGGAGGGGCGCCGTGTCACGGTAACCTTTGCAGGGCTTGCTCTTCGGAGACCAGGCCGGTTTTTGTGACAAATATTGATTTATGCTACATTGGCAAGTGTACTGGCAGTAGCCTAAGGGTATGTTCCAGGGATCTCAATGTAATTTTTTCAGTCGTCGCTCTAGTCAAGCTCCATACAGACGTGCACTCGGAACACGAGGCCAAGGACTCTGGTTCAAAAATGTTTATAGTCTTGGTGGCCAATGTACAGATAAAGTGTTTTTTTTTTTGTGTGTGTGTGTGTTTTTTTTTTTTTTTTTTTTTTTTTTTTGCGAAACTCTAAATTGGTATTTTGTGAACCAAACAGCGTTTGGTTCACGATATGTACTTAGAAACTGGTCTCGAGATCACTTGAGAAAGATGTCCCCTCATCGGCCTCGCAGCTGAGAATTGCGAGTTGTTTTCTTTTCAGGCAGAGGAGCGGCTTGCTTGACCGGCGGACTTTGTTTCATCGAAAGTATTCCCAGGCTTGAAGATGGTCGAATCCTAAGGCGAGCAATCCGTGTGATACAGAAGTTAGTTGGGGTCTCCAGGCCCCCGTCGGTGGAACCTTGAAGATGACACTTCGCTGTAGGTTAGGTTTTCAAACGGTGTTCTAATAACGATTTTTTTTTTTTTTTTTTAACAACAAATATGTTCTCTGGTTCTATTTTTGAGAGCTAATGCAGTCAACAAAATTTGCCTTGCGTTTGGGGGAAGATGTAAACGATTGTATCAGTGCTATCTACACGGTGTATTGCTCAGATCGGTTCACCCATTCAACGCGTTGTAATGTTCAACAATAAAAATGGTGCAGGTGGTTCAAAAAATATCGTCGTGCGCAATTTCTTAGCATTGAATTCTTATAAAAAAGGTAATTAAATGTTCCATCCTGAATAGAATTTTTTTTTCTAGAAATAAATTTTTAAATAGTGCTTGTCGCATCAAACACGGCAAAATAAAACGTCAACACCACTATAAGTGTTTCGACTTCTTTCACAATGTTTCAGCTGCTCTAATGCTGTTTATTGTTCTCAGCGAAATATTTTCAGGCTAATTTGTTGGTTTTATTGTCTGGGTATACTTTTAGATGTTGCAGCTTCAGAAGCATGCATCTATCACCTAATTACAACGCCATGAAATATTAAAATTTTTAAATGTAACACATCAAGCGTAGACCAGGGGATACTATTAAATCGACTGACCGCCACTTAGGTACATCGCACGACGCAATGGAAGAAAATAGTTTCGTTAGTAAATGTTGCATGTTTTCAGTCTAGAAATGGTAATAGCGACACATACACCATCGTTTATGTGAGGCGTTGTACATTTTGGTGACGATGCCTGGAATTAAGACAGAACCACCCTGCTAACCTATCCGCAAGTTTCACGGCCTAAAGGGGTCTCGCCGGCGCGTATCAAAATGACTGTGGTGTGGATGACCAACATGAAACAGCAGAACGCGGCAAGGATTGGGATGCCCAAGTTATCCGAAGTTTGTCAGATATGTGCGTCATCAAACCTTAGCAATATTTTATCTAAGATAAGTAATTGTGACGATCTTTATGTTAAAGTCAATCACCACAGAACTACGGGATGTGATTGCGACACCGCGGTACCACCATAGCTGAAACTTGTGGATAGGAAGCGTGTGGTGCCCGTAGGATGGATCAACCAGCACGCAGGGCTATTATGAATACCTTCGTCTATCCTGAAGTGGGGAAGACTGAAATCACAATCAAGGATAAAAACATAAACACTTAAAAACTTAAACAAAAAAATAATAAGATACACGATGTCCTTCTGACTCGGGGGGGGGGGGGGGGGGGGGGGGGTCTTCACGACCTACTGTAATCTTGACCCACAGAAGAGTGTCCTAACGCGAGCCTTGTGCTACAACCCACGGCCGCTGCGTTTTCTCACGCTATGATTTCGTGGCGCAACAGAAAGGCCGCTTTGTTTCATAGGGTGGCTGCATATCCATCGAAGGCGCACAAGACGCGCCGCGGTGTTAACTGGTCCTGACCTGCTCTCCTCGCGGGCATCGAGGCATCTCGTCAGGTTCGTCAGCCTATAGTCAGTCAGTGGGCGGGTGACAGATTCGATTAGTCCCTGGAGGTGCTGCTAGGCAGCACAGTGGCTGTTTATGGATTACCCGAGAACGCGTCTTGCTTCGATGGTGGCACTAGAATAGTTGGAGCTAGAAAAACGCCCTTGGTCTTCCGTGCCTGAGAAGCGCGCTCTTTCGATTTCAAGCAAACATGAGAACGAT